AAATGTTGTCTGCAGTGGGTGCATCAAAGAGTTGAGTTAATTTGGAGGGCTGGCATGTACGCCATCCATTTGAACTAGATACATTAAAATGGTGAGTGTTGAGAAGGAGTTTGAGATGAGGAGAACACAGCTACCTGTTTTTACACAAGAATTTATATAAAAAATAGAATAGGAACCAAAACACAATTTCTTGAAAATGCTCCACAAGATTTGAATGTCAGCTTTTATCCACATGTATTTAGGTCTTTAGAAGTTACAAAGATGTCTTCAGTGTTTAGAGAGTAGATGTTTACACACAATAAAACAATTATGATCAGATATTTTCTATTAAGGATTTTTTTTTCTGATCAAGAGGCTAGCTTAAGCATTCAAGAGTGTATAGTCAAAGTCACACACCTATCAAAACATTCAGATATTTATTTTATTTTTAACTAGGTACAGAAAATAAAATATATACAAATATTACAGTTGCAATTTTACAGTTTGAAAAATAATTTTGGTCTGAAGATAAAATTTTTAATTAAATGTCAGTAATCAATCAGGCTGTCGGTCAGATATTCCTAACTGTGTGACAATCATGGTTTCCAGCTGAAGACCCTTCAGAGAACTACGTGAAGCTGAGAGACTACGTCCTGGTCAAACTGTGTCAAAACCTGCCGTCCTTTGCCACAGACAAGCTGCACCTGGGCTTCTCAGCTGACATGGTCAGAGAGGCGCAAGACAAGCTGAAGATCAACAAGGTGACTGAAGAAGCCAGACAGAAAAAAACAACTAGATACTGTGTGTGTGTGGTGTTGATGTTGGTTGCAATGTACTTATATCCTTAATTTCTTTTCTTTTCTTTTTTTTTTTTGTATTTTCTTTACCAGAATAAACTGTTTTTGTGATTTTGTTATCTTGTTTTGCTGACAATGTGTTTTCATGGTATAAAAGTACCTTCATGGTAAAAGTGTAGCTTTGTATCATTTCTATTTATATCCAGTCATAGTAAGAATCACTTATCAAGGTGAATTCTCTGTATTGGAACTGTGTTAACTATGTTGTCCTGCTCTAAATAACAGTCTGTTCTACTCTACCTCTTACAGAAACACGCCAGACGAGTGTACGAAATCCTACGTCTAAGAGCAACGGACATGAGTGATGAAGAAAAAGCCAGAGACTTTCGCCTGGAGGTGAAACGGCGGCTGTTTGGACCCTACAGGGTGAGGATTTAGTCTGTACAACGGGGTCTTGAACTCAGATGAGCTGAGGGTCACTGCTGCCACAGTCCTTTTACAGTCACTGAGGATCATTACAAAAAAAACACCGTTATATTAGAAGAAGTATGGGTTTTTGAGTGCAATATGTGAATAAACAAATCAATTTTAACAAATTCTTTAAAAATATTGACATCTACTTGTGGACTGGATTTGGGGTGATCACTGGCCAGGAGTTTGGTGCTCTTGCTGTACAGCTACAGTGAAGTATATTCTGTGGTTTAGGAGGAAGGAGAATAAGATTAGACTCTCACATTTTACCCAGTGAAATCCAGAAATCATGAACACAGGTGAGTAGTTTTGTGTTGTTACAGTCACAGTAGAGCTCAGCAGGTGTCTGTGTTTATGCTGTTTTTTTTTATTCTCCTGCTTAGACACATGGTTATTCAGGATTTGCATTTCTTTGGGAGAAATCATTTTCATCACTGTGTCAGAAAGCTTCTCTCTCTGTGTGTGTGTTGTGTTGGCTCACAATTACACTGCCTTTTGAACTTAATTTGGATAACAGTGTAATTTTATCCATTTTCTTCCCTGATGTTTTTTTGGGGGAGGAGGGGAGGTCAGGTTTTCTTCATGTGACAGATTATAAACCTGCCAGACGGAAGATTTTGAGCTTTGCTGTTTCTCTTTGACTAGAAGTGACAGCAGCAAACGTTGCCTAGATCAGTTTCCACCAGCCCAACACCTTCTGTCCTGTTTGCTTTGTGACTATTCTCATTCAAACTCAAAGTTCACAAGGCAGCCATTAGAGAATTTGCTGTCAGCGGAGGGACCGCACGTCTCAGAAAAAGTCCGAAGGTGACGTGGAAAAGACCTGTGTGGTGAGGAGGGAAGCAGGAATTCCTGGGGAGAGTGGCAGGGAAGGATCTGGTGACCAGATGCAGACAATTCTGTCCTCCCAGAGGAGATGTAGTGTGTGGTTGGTTCAACAGCACAGACGGCTGCTCTGTGAAAGTGAGGGAGATTATACTTCTCTGCCCCCCCGCCCCCCCTCTCGCTCCCTGATTCACCACAGACCATGTCTGCATGAATATGTATGTGTTACTCCTTCACCCATGTCTGACACTTGTCAGCACTCAGCGTTTTAAAAATGTTTAAAAAGTTCTTAAGCTAGTTATAAAAGGATAAAGCAATCAATCCAATGAAATCCAACCCTAAATTTCAGAAGACTTCCTTCACCTTCAGACAAATAAAATAGGTAGTTTAGAAATTAAATGGGTAATGTTTTAGGTAACTAGTGCACATCAACCAAAATGTTCATCTTGGTGCCAGAATTTGAGAAATTCAGTTGGTTAGGAGTTTGTATAACACTTTTAAAAAGTTTTTTTTTTTAATAATCCAGGAAATGAAATTACTAGATAAATTGTTGTCCTGTGTTAGGATTCAAACTGACAACCATATTTTCTGGCTCATATTTAATGGCTCCTAAAAAGCTTTCGTAAACCTTTTGCCAACTTCCTTATTATTAATATGTGTTGGTTGTTGTGTGCAGAAGAATCAGAGAGAGCTGGCAAAAATGAGGAAGTGCCTGCGGCCGGAGGAGCTGGTGTCCCACATGGGTCAGATGGACACAAAGACGCAGCATGAGGAGCTGGAAAAGAGTTTCCAGGTGGTTGTTGACGACTACAGGAGAATCATTGAGAGACTGGCAACACAGGCCTGAACAGAACATGATGGGATGCTGCTGGTCTAAGGCCCACCTCCTTATACAGGGTGTGTGTGTGTGTGTGTGTGTGTGTGTGTGTGTGTACAAACCCCACATCCTCACCACAGACTTTGGCTGCAAAACAGAAAAAAACTTGTTTGTTTGTTTCCAAAAAGTTTTCATTGGCCAGTGTTGCAGTTAAAACAAGCCCGACTTGTGGCTGAGCTTGATGCAGTCTGTTTATCTTGTGTTAAATGTCATTGTGTGACAAATGATGTGTCAAATATTACAGGTGACAGGACTGACCTGCAGAGGCACAAGAGCTCTCCATCAAAGATTTTTTTCATTCCCTTCCTGATGAGTTCGAAGCACTTCACACTGAAAATAGTTTGGTTTTGTATATTCCTCAATGGTGGGAGTGCGTGTAATAAAATGTTTGTTCTTGTTTCTTTGTTTCATTGTACCATGTTTTTTTCTAGCAGTCTAGAATCTTTGGCTAACCCATTTATTAATAGAAAAAAATTGTTAGCCAAAGATACTAAAGCACTTGCCAATGAATAAAATAAAAAGTTAAACATGGCACAAATTAAGCTATGCTAAAGGCTAACTGCTTAGCCTTGCAAAAGCTGAAATGGAGCAAATTAGTGAAAATGGTAAGTTAGCAATTGTAGCTAAACATTTGCCAAAAGGTTTCAAAGAATTAACAAAATTAAGCAAATAATCAGCTAAAGTTAGACCTAATTATAGGTTAAATAACCATGAGCAGGTTTGAAAAAACCCCATTGCCCTTTGTTGGGGCAGTTAAGAATGATTAGCTTGGGGAGGGCTAATATCTTAGCCAATAGCAAACATAATATTTTAATATTTTTACCTCTTTCTGAATACTAGAAATGTGTCCGTGATATGAACTGTATAATTGAGTCAGTGTACAGATGATTCTGTTGAGGCAGCCTCTTGCAGCTAATGCAGCTTGTGATTGCCACTGATGTGGAGTGTTGCACTAATGACTGTTATGGATTTCAATTTAGACCCTGTGTGCCACTGTACTGCCCTGCTTATGCAGATCGTTGGGATGAATACTCATCATACTTTATGATACTTTAGCACACTGCCACTAAATGAGGGCTGACGGGTCAATTTTCAATAAATCCCACCCTCCCCCACTCTCCACTTAAACAAGCCAAAACCTCATACCCCTTCACTTCTCTAATTTAGATCGATTGAATCCACTCGTGGCCACAAGGGGCCTCATTTCCCTGTAGTGAGAGCACATTTGACTGCACTGTACAGAGTCAGCTGACTGACCCACTGGTTGGTGCTGTCATTATTGTTTAGTAGGACTGGGAGTTTGTGTGCTGTATCATAATTTGGGGGATTAGAATATCTAATAGAGCAACAAATGGGTTTTTCATGGATCACGTTGATGCAGCGACTCCTCGTTGTCACATCACAGACGGACATGGATGATCTGCAGGCCTCTGTGCTGTTGTCAGAAGGTTGAGGAAGTCCTTCAGACCACACAGTGGAGTTTACAGAAGCATGATTACCACACTCACCTCACGCCCCTCTCTCTCTCTCTCTCTCTTACACAAACACACAACGTGGTACAGTAAACCCTTGTTTTTCGCGGGGGTTACGTTCCAAAAAGAACCCGTGATAGGCAAAATCCGTGAAGTAGAAATCTTTATTTTTTTTACAATTAAATACTCAGAAAAAGAAGAGAAAGAACGAACAAACCATTTTACAGTCTCAACCATTTGTTTCACAAACGAACGGAAGATTCATTAATTCCATAATGCCGACCTACAGCCGCATAGCTTTTACCTTCATTTAGCATGTCCAATAGTTTTACTTTATCAGCGATAGACAGCATCTTCCGCTGCCTTTTGGTCCCTACCGCAGGTACTTTTGCCGGTCCAGAGCGTTTTGTCGACATTATGGGGTTTGATAAACTCGAAATTGCAAGAGAATTTGCATGTACGTAATGTCAATTTGGCAAGCTGTTTTACGTACGTGTACATATTAAACCGCAACGTTATTGGCGCACAGGTAGAGAAGAAGCGGAGAGACTTTTTAGCCAATCAGAATGCAGAACACAATGCAGATGTAACCAAACTTGTTTTTGTTATTTTTGTGGATTTAGCTAACAGACTTATGCAACATAAACAACACGGTCAGACAACACCAACCTTAATTATTAAGGTTTATGGCTCACATTCACCTGTTCAGGACTAAATGATCAGCTCTACAACATGTAAGTATTTTAGCCACATCTTAAACTGTTGTTGACATTTTTCTTTTTTGTTATCGCTGGGCTATTTTAAATACCTTTAGCTAACTTTAGCAAGATTTGGAGTTTGGTAATTAGCTCGTTTTGAGCCGTTTGTTTTAATATTTGTGGTTCTTTGTGTTTAGTTATATTTATTTTTTGGCTCACTGTTAGCTCTGTATGTTGTGTTTTGGACCAATTAGCCTTCGGTGGGGGTATTTCTCCTCAGACTTCTAAGCTAAAAATTAGCTGGTTTTGCTATTGTGAGTCATGTTGTTTTGCCAAATAAGCATATGTGTGTTACATGTGTATATTATTGTTGTAGAATATGACATTTTTATGGTAAATAATTCCTCAACCTAAACCCGTTGATTGTGGATCACATCTCTCTGCTCCTCCAAAAGAGGATTAATTTTAAAATGATCCAGTGTTCTTTCTGGAGTAAATTCCTTCACACGTTACCTTTAATCATGCAAATATGTTGAGCCGCATTAAAAGCAGGCAGAAGTGTCCTGCGGCCATTATTCCGAGAATTGACAACAACAGTATCAAACATGACTGGAGATTCAGTTTCACCTGTTGGCATTTCTGCTACTGTTACCTTATGGCGCCTCCACCTCTCAGTCAGTGGAGGCAGACAGTCAGGGTT